TGGTGACTGGGGATGGGGGGACACGGGGAGACCCCAAGGACGGGGGGGTGGTTTGGGGAGGGATGCTTCCATGGCAAAGCCGCCTCTCCTTCCCCCTCCCCAATCAGGGTTTTTTTTTCTTTTTGACACATCAGGGTGCGTGTCGTGTGCAGGGTGAGGGGAATTAAACGCATCTAAAAAAAAAAATGAGTTAAAAAACCCCACACGTGGGGGTTGTGATAGCACATATCGGAATAAGCCACGGGAAGAATTGTTTTTCTCCGGCAGGAACGAGCCACCCTTGAAATCGTCACATTATCACCCCGGCAGGCAGAACCCCGACGTGTCAAGAAGTCCCCTTTTCAGGCTTTCATTGTGCTTCAGGGATTCGGTAAGGATGCTGCCCGCGAAGCCGATCCCGGCTTGTGGTCTTTACAGCTGTTTTCCCCCACCGAGGGAGAAAACCCTGGTAGTATTACTAAGAAAAGAAAAAAGCAAATCACGGACGGCGCGTTTGTTAAAAAAAATATATAGAGAGGGTGTTATGAGGCGGTGGTGCGGGAGGGCAGGCGGCCCCGCATCTCCCGCAGCTTCAGCATCACCAGGCACGGGGGGGGGGGTGCGACACAAAACCGGGCTTCAACCCAGGCGAGGCAAAGACGGGGCATTTTCCCTTGGGGAAAACAAAACCAAGAAAAGCCCCCAAAGCCCGCGCTGTGCAGGGAAAAAAGCCTCACCTCTCTCGTGGCCGATGAGGATGTCCTTATGGTTGAAGTACTCCACTTCCTCCGTGTAGTTCTGCGTGTAGGCGGTGTTGGAGCCGGCGTTCCTCGACTCGGTCCAGCGCACCTTCGCGTGTCCCCTGGCGTGGATTTTGAGCGATTTCACTCGGATTTCCCCCGTCACTTCTAAACTGACCCTTCCTGAGACCGCGTCCCCGCTGGAGTAGACGGGGACGTTGCTGTCATTCAGACAGTCAAAGCTTATCGTCAAGCTCTTCACCTTCCCCAGCACCATGGTTGTGTAGCAAAGCGTACAAAAATATACTGGTACAAAAAAGAAAAAGCACAAAAATAAAGCAAAATGAACCCCCCCCCCCCC